GCGGCGGGGGATGGAGTGCGGTGGGGGAAGGCGGTGTGGCAGGGTGTAGCACCTGGTTTTAAGGACAAAACCAGATACACGCCATATGTGTGCCCAGGAATTCAATTCACACATATAGTTACAAATGAAAGGGTAATATTAAAGCCAATGCCTTTATTACATAGCGCATAAGTATTTGTTACAAAAGACATAGTCTTTTCAGTATATACTATAACTCTATTCTTCTGACGAAGCCTCCAATACCACAGGAATCGTCAACTGGTTGATCACAAGCCTAACACCTCTTGGAAAACTTCACTGAAGAACCTCCATCTAGTACCCATCCGGAATTTTGCCAAAGTATTGAAATAAAACAAGCGTAAGCTACTACCGCTTATCAAGCATAACATGAGGGGATGCAGGCTCAAAAGGCTTAACACGACTGAACTGCGGTAAGCACTTTTAGTTGATCATATTTTATTATTAATCATAAATTGCGAAGTTATGCTTAGACTCCCAAATATGAATAGTTAGAGATATCGTCAATTTTAATCATAATCCAAACCTTCCAAGTAACCAACTATTCAGTAAGGATCCAGACCGCTCTTGTCCGTGAGCACGACTGATATACCAGTTTTGCACTTTACAGAGGTTGTACAATTTCACCACGAGTCGTGTTGCCTATATGCCCGGGTTAATTACTCCCAAAACACTTCCAAGGTGAGCAGGCAGGGTACACTACGAAGCTTTTCTCCGGTCGTTCTAATAAGGAGCAGGCTCTAAGGATTCCATCTCCTAAGTGTTATGGAGTCATATCCGTAAATGGCAATCGATACTCATGTGACATAGTACACACTGGGATGAGGCCCATACCCAGCATGGTATGTCCCTCTTGCTCTTTCTAGTTTATAGCAGCTTACCAAAATGTCGACAGTAGACTATCAGCATGCTCTCTAGGGTTAAAAATTGCCACGCGAAAAAGTTAGCTTTGTATTGTCATCCGCAAGTGTATCACCGAGACATAAAAAGAAACTAAATCACATAATGTGATTCAGAGTAATAAAGAAAATTTAGGATTCAGATTTGAGCATCCGATCGATGGTTCAATAGGGACAGTCTATAATACATCAATTTAAACACCAAGTATACAATAGTATTCCTAGTTATAGATGCTTTGTAGAACGGTTTGAACAATCTGAATTTAGAGCAGGTAGCTACCCTAAGCTTAGAGGCGCCATGTAATCATTGCAACAGAAACTGACATGATTTTCAATTGGGTCAACCACGAATAATCTATGGTTTTCTTGCTGCTAGAACACTAAATCTAACCCAAAAAAGAAAACTGAATTTCATATATTTGCGAATGATTATAGGTACGGAAGTTTTAACACTAAATTTAGCCCAAAAAAAGAAACTAAATTTCATATCATAGCGGATGATAATAGGGATGAGAGTTTTACCATTAATTTCATATTTTCACTTTCTTCAGTGCTCTCTTTGTTGGCAAACAGTCCGGTGCTCTCTTTCAGCAATAAGAATCGAACCCATGGCCATTTGCTTCATTTTATATAAGGTTCAGATGACTTGGTGAGCAGGAAGAACTGTAGATGGCAAGGCTGCATGTATAAAACAATATATGTGAACATTTAGCAAATTGAAAGGTGATATGGAAGCGTTAGTTGTGACTATTATACCAATTAGAAATAAAAGAGTATGGTTAAACATTGAAGTACTTATCTCTAGAACACATGATAAAGCTGCTTAGGGACTTGGACCAAATAACTGAAATATCTAGCATCCTGAGAACAAATCAGAGTGCCTGCAGCGAGCACAAATCTATTCAAATTTGACTGAGGATGAAACGCTAAATGATAAGCAACTCATTTTTACTGTGCAACACATAATGCATAACACAAGGGTAAATAAACATTATATTAAAAGGAAATTTAACTCTCTGCATCCGCCATTTGCAGCCAACAAAATTATGACATGAATTATTTGGGGCCATTTAATTTAGGAGGAATTATATTCAATCGTTCATAGTTTGCTTGAAAATATTTTTAGCATAACCGGCGGTGTGTCTCGCTTTTTCAAAACATCTACACTCTGATGATGGCATTCCAAATGCTTGATTCTCTCCGTCCTCCATTTGCAGCCAACAAAATTGTAGCAAGAATTATTTCGGGCCATTTAATTTAGGAGGAAATCAATTCAACTGTTTATAGTTTGTTGAAAATATTTTTAGCATAGCTGGCAGGTGTATGCCTTCTGAGAACATCTACTCTCTAAGAATTATGCACACCTCACTATTTCTTCGAGCAAAGCAATATGAAATTCCAAGACCCAAACCAATAAGACCAAATATGCATGACTATCTAAAAATTAGAGCAAAGAATAGAGGGAGAAAGTACGTAACAAGATTGTGATATCGTGGCTCCAAGCAACATTGCTCTATTTGGATCAACTAACTAAAATATCACAGAGGTTTAGCGATGACCATAATTTTCCCCTTAACCTGTAAAAAGAAACACTTCTTTGACAACTCTAGACCAGGGAAGAGCAATATTCCATTTCTTGCAGACTTACCAAAGTTTCTTGTTTTGGGGATGCAAACTATTTGATTTCTGAACTGTGTGGACCATTGAACTCCAGACCTGATAAGTACAACAAAGCATGAGTCTCAGGTTTTATCGCCATATAAATCTACCTCACTGGAACCTAGCAAAGGTACATGTTGCTTTATTTCTGGTAGCACACAGTAATGCATTCAGGGTAGAGGAGTCATCACAAATGAGAAAAAAATACAGTTATGCTCATTGAGCATGTGCCTTGATTTAGGTTTGGATCATAAACAGTGTGTAACCTTTTTTGAAAATGAGGAAAGCATGAATTAGGAAGTACACAAAGAAGAAATAATGAAATTTACATGCAGATGTAATCCACGCAGGCCTAGCCGTAGATCTGCTTGTAAGGACCAAGTGTGATGCTTCCCCAACATGCATTGAGTCCAGGGCCCCTGCAAAATCACCTTCATCAGTCTGCCAAACAACCTTGGAGAGAAGGGCAAGTAGCATAAACATGGGGACGGGCTACAATGGCAGCACCTGTGTGTTATGCACCATAAAAGAATCATCCACGCAACCATAACACCCTGCTGGAAAGGGTAGCATAACTCGAGGACTACCAAGGAGCCCTGAAGCACACAGTAGTATCGGCAAGGCTAGAGAAGGAAGCTGTAAAAAGTGGAATATCAACAGCTCCTCCTAAGAATTAAGATTGTGTTTGTTTTCATTTTCTATTAATGTTTTGTCTTCTCTGTTTCATTACACAAAGTACACTGGTTGGTAAACACGTTTCGAAAAATATTCAGTACAGAAAAACATATGACAGGAGTCATATCTAAGTTTTGGTCAATAATCGCTCGAATGGGTAGAGAGAAATACATAGTTACTAAACTTATAGCAGGCTATTGTTACGTTGTGGGTATCCATGAGTTAAAATACTATGAGGCATGAATAATAAAAAGTTGTGGACTAAGGAATACCCTTGCTTACCTTAAGCTCTAAATCATCCACTATAAGCACTGCTGCTGCACATGGAAGCTCATGTTTTAGAACTCTGAACTGCAGTTTAGGACACACAAAATCAAGGTGCTGAATTGAACAAATCAAGATACCTCCACCCAAAACAGAGTACACATTCACAGAATTAAACTTCAAGTTTGCCTCCCTAACCCTGAAGCCGTTGTATACATTTGTCTGATCGAATTCGGACGAGAAGCTGCTGAAGCGAAAGATAAGCAGAAGAGAATCCACGGAAGTGAAGGAGTAGACTGGGAAGCCGGTCTCGGCAGAATCCGCTCTAAGAGATCTGGGTCGTCGAATTGAAGATCTGACGGTGGTGAGAATTCAGGGTGACGTGGAGTGGCGTTCTATTGAGGAGCCCTACGGGTATTCTACGGGTTAATGAGAAATTTTACAGTGCTTGCGAAAAAGAGAGCCATCTATTTAGATAGATCTAATACCGTCTCCGACAGGTTAGCCATATGGGCACCCAAACCTAAAATGGGTATTGGATGGTACAGTTTCGGCCTCATGCGAGACTCATTTTAGGTTGCAGCAGAGTCACACACCCAAATATGAGTATTCTTCCTCTGAAGACTCATTCGTAGATATGTTTCTCTTTTAGGTCATGACGTGGGAGAAGACCAAAGATAGGTATTAAATCATTTGCCTGTAGCGCTACCCAAACTTGTAATGAGTCTTGTATTTTAGGTGATATTGTTGGAGATAGTCTAATGATTATAAAATAGAAAGAACTTGTACAGAGGAACTTAAGTCATGGGCCGGAAACTAAAATACGTGGGCCAGGAATTAATTTCAAAATAAATTTGAAGGGTAGCAAGGTAACTTTACCGCTCTCTTCCTCTCCTGCAGCTGCCTCCCTCTCCTAGCGCCGGCGGGCTCCACAACCCCTGGTTCAGAGTTCGACTGTTCGAGACAGAACGACGGCAGCCGGGGCGCACTGCGGGAGGCCGGCGGGGGGCAGTCAGCAGGCCAGCGGCACCTCCAATCGGGTTCTAGGCGCAGCCGCGCAGGTCGTGTCCAGATGTATGAATCGGCTCCACCGACGGAGCCTGCTTGCTGCGTGCTTGCGTCATCTCTGCACTGCAGGCAGGCTTGCTTCCTGAATGGCTGAATGCATGCCTTTTGCAGATACAGGGAGGTGGTTGGTGGCGAGGAGAGCAGCAGCATACTTGCAGATCGCGCACGAGCAACAACGAACTCCTATTCCCCTTGGTTGGATTACGACGGGCAGTGGGCGCCGGTCGCCGGCGAATTAACGGGGCGGCGGGTGGCCGTCGCTGGCGAATTACTTCCTGTTCGTGAGTATCTGTATGTTTGGAAGAAGAGAGAAAAAAATACTAAACTACCTTTAGTCTTACGGGAGAGTTTACGAGAGGAACCACTGGTTCCTTCCGAGCGTAGTAACAAAGCTCTTAGGTCATATATAATATAGATCTAAGTCGACTTTGAGCGTCGATCCATTTGTCTGATGATACTGTGCAGCCCAATTGTGCCACCAAGCTGATTCAACATGTCGTTATTGGGTCCCTGTCTCTGTCTCTTGACGTGTGGGGCGAATTTGCTCAACATTTGGGCCATTCGCTTGTGCTCCTCCAGCAGTTCCATCACTTGGCTGACGGGCCTGCCGGATCCCTGAGCGACCCGGTTGATCCGTGACCGTGACTGCTGCTGTTTCGTCATCATCAGCTTCATCGGGTCGGCCCCGTCAAGCTCTGCAGCACTCATGGAGTCCATGATCGTCATGTACCTCTTGATCTTGGCCTGCTGCCCTTCCTTCTCCCGCTTCCCCTTGTCTCCCAATAATCCAGCTGGTAGCAAGGAGACGAGATGCCTTAGAGGACCCATGCTCTGCACTAACCGGAACAGCTGGTTCAGAGCCCTGAGAGTGAAGCCGCTGGCTCCTTTAACCGTCATCAGCTCGTGCAGAAGCTGCTCCAGTCCTTGTCCTTGATCAGCAGGCATGGGCATCGTCGTCATGGCGTCCTCGATCTTGCCCACGAAGCCAGGCAAGTCTCCCATGCCTAGCAGACGACTCACAAAGGACCTGGCGTTGAAGGCCTCCTGGTCCGCGACATGCTCCCCGGTGCCGATGAATATGACGGGGCTTTCCGTTGCTGCGACCGCGCTGAGCGCGCCGCCGCCCTTGGCGTGGCCGTCCATCTTGGTGACGATGACGGCGCCGACCTCGGCGCTCTGCTTGAACGCCAGCGCCTGGTCGAACGCGGCCTGGCCGATGCTGGCGTCCATGACGAGCACCACCAGGTCCGGCCGCGTGGCCTCCGCGAGCTGCCGCATCTCCTCCAGGAGAGCGGCCTCCTGGCTCTGGCGCCCGCTCGTGTCGACGACGATGAGGTCACATCCCTCAGCATCTTGGTCGTCGTTCCTGAACCTGTCCACGCCCTCGACGGCGAACCTCACGGGTTCCGAGTCCGACTCCGTGTAGCTCCCGTAGAAAGGGATGCCGGGCTTGGCCGCGTTCTGCCTCAGCTGGTCCGGGGCGCCGGCCCGGAACGTGTCGGCGCACACCAGCGCGGGGCTGAACCCCGTCCGGCGGTGCTAGTCCGCGTACTTAACGCAGGTGGTGGTCTTGCCGGAGCCCTGCAGGCATGTTCGGGAGGCCGTATCGTATCGTGGATTATTTACTGCTGGCTGGTTTGATGTGAGAGAAAAACACTATTCCTGGCTGGAAATTTACGATCGTTTACGAGCAAGCGAACAGGCCTGCAGGGTGGTTTCCCGCCCCCGCTCCCGGCCGCGGGGTACAGCATCCTGCACAGCTCGTCGACGACCGCATGCTTGATGGCGCGGCACCTGTCAGTGCCGGCAGCGATGGACTGGAGGTTGACGGCGCTCCTGATGCTGGCCTGCACAGCCCGGACTGTCTCGAAGCGGACGTCAGCCTGCAGAAGCGCGCGCGAGACGTCGTTCAGGTAGTCGACCACCACCTTGTCGTCCACCATCGTCGCCTTGGCCATCCGCGCCAGCGCGCCGATGAGGTTCTAGCCCAGCTGCGCCAGCACCAACTCGATCGGCGGGTCGGGTGATGGCGACGGCGACGGACGAGTGGGGCGGTTATGCAACGTCGAAAAATACGTGCTACAACATCGAAAAACATATACTGCAACATCGAAAAAAATATGTACTGCAACATCGAAAATTATGTGCTACAACGTCGAAAATTATGTACTGCAACATCTCAAGCAGTAGTACTGCAACATAGTAAAAACATCCGTTGCAACGACCCAAAAAAATCACATTGCAACATTCGAAAATCATCTATTGCAACATCTCAAAACACCCATTGCAACACGGGAGAACCAACAAAAAAAAAAGCATACAAAAACAACCCCTAGCCCATCACCTTCGAGCTCGCCGGAGGGAGGAACGAATATGACCCCAGAGCCGGAACCCTAGCCACCGGCTCCGTTCGGCTTACCTTATAATCCGGTTTATTCGGCTTCTTTTTTCAATCGAAATAGTGTTTTTCTCTCACAACAAATCAGCCGGAAACAGTGTTTTTCAGCCAATTTCAGCCAAACGAACGGGGCCAGCCTCGTCCCTCAGATCCAGAGGAGGAGAAGGAGCGCTCAGATCTAGAGAAGAACCGACCTACATCGTCGAAGCCGCCGCCGTCGTCCTCGCCTCCGATGGGGGGAGCAGGAGCAGGGTCGTTGGGAGCGCGGGGTCGCATGGAGGTCGCGCAGAGGGGGAGGAGGAGGGAGGGGAGGGCGGGCGGGACAATAGTGAGGTGTGCGCGCGGTGCGCGGCGTCCGTTCCGCCGAGTGGACAGGCGCTGCGGGAGTGAGCAGTCGAGAGGATAAGGAATGGATGTGGAAGTGGCGTGCGGCTGGGTGATTCGGCACGTGGCCGGGTGCGTTCGTGATGGGATAAGGACGCACGGGTTAGGTGCGTCTAGCAGCCCGGACGACCGGTTCACATCATTATCGATACTTTAATGAGTCCTGGTTGCTTGCGAGGTGATCGATCGCGTCGGATCAGAGTGGGTGGGAGTGGGAGACCGACCTGAAAACGAATCGGCTGATTCTGTACCGAGTCCGTATGTGTTTCCCGGCCCTCATCGGACAACGGTCAGCACTCAGCACGTGCCTTGTCTTGCCGCGAATTTTGATCGTACTTGAGACTCTTTCGCTCTACGAGAAAATTGAAACGACTTCAAATTTGGGACGAATGGGGTATTATTATATTTTTCTATAAACTTGCATTGATCAAATTTAAGATAAATTTGAATTAGGAAAACTCAAAAATACTTATTTGTGGACAGAGTGGCCACATATGTCTACAAGCTACTGTCATCATACTATCTATTTAGAAATTTTGAGTTGCCATAAGTTAAACTATTCCAAATTTGACAAAATTTATAAAAAAAAATTAGAGTAAAATCCGTGAGCACTCCTAAACTTGCAGGGTGGTGTCATTCAAGTCCCTAACTTTCTATTCTTGATATTTTAGTCCCATAACTTATGTTACAATGTCACTTGGGTTTGAAACTCTCGAGTTTTAATATGTTGATTCCTGAACTTGTATAATAGTGTCATCTAGGTTTCCAAATTTGCAAATCAACACACAATTAGCACACCTCATCAGTGTTACTTGTGTGTGTTTTTGCAAGTCCGGGAACCTAGATGACATCAACATAAGTTCGGAATCCAAATATCAAAACTTGAGAGTTTGGGACTTGAATGGCATAACAATACAAGTTCAGGACTCTGACGAGAGAACTCGTTGATTGATTAATCGGACGTACATATATGTAGCTGCCTCTATTCTGTATCCTACGGACTTACGGTAACAACTATCTCGCAAAATAGGAAGGTGTGTCCAGACTCGCCTAAACAGCAATACGGGGACGCGACATGCATTATGCGTGCGCAAAGCCAGGAAAGAAACTTGCTAATTATAGTAGTCTAACATATTTCGAATATCAAAACTAAGAGTTAGGGACCTAATTGACAGCAGCGTACAAGTTTAGGGACCGCCAATGAATTTCACTCCATAAAACATTTATGAATCGGATGATGCGTAGCACCTTCATAAAGCTTCCGTTAAGGCGAAGCAAAGTCGTGAAGGAGCTGATCCATTCAATTGATGAAGAAATAACTGAACTGTTTGCCTCTCATGAGTATGTATCTAGTATTAGGTGCTATGGGTATTTAGCCTAAAAAAGTGTTAGGGGCATTTTAGTCTTCACCATGGACCTATATATATATATATATATATATATATATATATATATATATATATATATATATATATATATATATATATATATATATATATATATATATATATATATATGGACGTGGCTAGTTGGGAGAGATATCTTGCTAACCCTATCGTTATTGCTCTAAATTACCCAATTGCTTAAGAAGAAAGAGAGAGAGGAGTAGAGAGAGTTGAGCACCTCTTGCTATACTCTTTTATTCTTTAATGGAATGATAATAAACGGAGGTGTCTAGCCATGCTCTTGTACATGAATTTGTGAGGCAATCTATGTCCTTGTTCCTTCAAATCCAAGTAAAATCTGTTCTCCCTCCCACTTGTTCTCGCGTCTTTCTTTTTTCTAGAATTTTGGGTTATTTTTTATTATTTTCTGTTATTCATGTTTGGCTGAGATTTGGGTCGGATGTTTGGGACCAAATTGATGCTATGACATGAGTGAGCAATCCTAGGATGCAATCCCCCCCCCCTACCCACCCACACATACAACACGCACACAAATACCCTAACGAGCACCTCCAATCTAAGTTTCTTGGATTTTTCCTTTTTCTTAGGGTTTCCCATTTTGTAAAATCAGTGCTGAAATTCCAATCTTTTCGGGACTCTTTGCTGATTTGGATTTACTATGAGTTGGTGATGTTGTGGTTAAATTTGCACTCTAATCCAAATTGATTTGATTTTTTCGTGAATTTTTGGAGCAGAGCACCTCCAATCTAAGTTTCTCAAAAAAATTTCCCTTTTTCTTAGGGTTTCCCCATTTTGTAAAATCAGTGCTGAAATTCCAATCTTTTCGGGACTCTTTGCTGGTTTGGATTTACTATGAGTTGGTGATGCTGTGGTTAAATTCGCACTCTAATCCAACTTGATTTGATTTTTTTCGTGAATTTTTGGAGCAGCCCTGTGCCCAGCCTGCTTGAAACACTGTGTGCTGTTTCTGAAACGTCAGTTTCATGGACTGTCGCTTCGTGCGATGACCATAAACATGCCTCAACTGTGAAGGAGGCCGGTTGTCTGTTCGCTTAGTGTCCGAGTTAGTTAGGATAAACGACCAAAAAATGTCATACCAAAAAATGGGCTGATGAAATTTTGTCTCTTTTTTTAGACTAGCAAGCATGCTCGTGCATTGCGACGGAAGAAAAACTTTAATTTTCATTCTATCATGTGTTGCTATCATTAAATATCGAGTTTCGTTAGCTTTGAGGACTCCTATAAATCTATACTTTAATATCTGATTAAAGTCAATAAGGAGTTAGTTGTCGACGTGTCAAGAATTAGTATGTCCACTAATGATTCTGATAAAAGACTTCTCTTGATTACATTTATTTAGATGGCATTAGACAACAATTTGTCCAAGATTTCAGTTCACGTTTTAATTAGTTAAACCATTGGCTAATTCAGGTTTTAGCAAGAATATGTTTATAATCAAAATTACGTTAACAACATGGCAGTAAAAATCTTTATTTCTTAGAGAAAAGTCAATGGTTCAAACGCCAATAATATTGTATCTATTATTTATTTTTATTTTTATTGAAAATCACTTGAGCGGATATTAATCGGAGACTATAAAAAAAAGATAGAGGTATAGAAATAGATAGAGCTCCCACATATATATATAGTTCTGCCAAAGTTTCAGAGTTTAGTAAGAGCCTATATACAAACGGCAGTACCGGAAACCTCAAATTTGTCGAGTGTTTTTATGTTTGCCGAGTGCATTCTCTCTGGCACTCGGCAAACAAATTCTTTGCCGAGTGCTATCCTAAAAACACTCGGAAAAAAACACTCTCGGCAAAGAGGAGAGTTTGCCGAGTGTCAAACAAAAAACACTCGGCAAATAGAGGGTTTACTTGAGTGTCACAAAAAACACTTTCGGCAAGGGAGGTTCACGAGTGTCTTAAAATCAACACTTTCGGCAAAGTAAAAAAATATAGAAAAAACCCCACCCGCAATAAAATCCCGCCCTCCCCTCCCAGCCCGCCTCGTCCCGCCCGCCTCCCATCCCCAGTCCCCCGCACCCACCCCCTCCTCCCACACCCCCCCAGCCCCGGCGAGATACCCTCCTCCACCGCCGCCCCCTCCTCCCTCCCTCCTCCCGCCCGTGCGGATCCAGCCCCTCCCTCCCTACCCTTCTTCTTCCCCACGACGACGGTGGCCCTCCCTCCATCCCCTCCTCCCGCCAGACCGGATCCGCCCCTCCCTCCCTCCCTTCTTCTTCCCACGGCACTTGCCGATCCGCCCTCCCTCCCTCCCTTCTTCTTCCCCCATGGGCGTCGCTTGATCCGCCCCTCCCCTTCTTCTTCCGGCGATGCGGAGCAGCAGCAGCGGGTGGCAGTGCAGATCCACCCTCCTCCCCTCCCTCCATGGTTCCACCGGCGGGTGGCATCGCGGATCCGGTGGGATGGAGCCACCACGGCGTGGATCCGGCGGAGAGGTGTCCTCCGTCCGGTGGCGGATCCGGTGGGTTGGATCCCAGTGACAGTGGATCCGTGGATCTGACGGCGGGCTCCATGGCGGCGGCCCCTCCCCTCCCCTTCTTTTTCTCCCGGTCGTGGCGGGCGGCTGTGGTGGTGGTGGTGGCCGGCGCACCCCAGGCGTTGGCGGCGGGCGTGGATGGCGGCGACAGTGCTGGTGGTGTGGGCGTGGATGGCGGGGTGCATTTTTTTTTTGAAAAAAAAGTTTGCCGAGTGTTTTTTTTTTGCACTCGGCATGGTCTTTGCCGAGTGTCCGACAAAAAAGACTCGCAAACTAGCGTTTGCCGTTAAAGGGTTTGCCGAGTGTTTTGGGTCTTCGCCGAGTGCCCCGGCACTCGGCAAAGCTCTGGATCCGTAGTCCGGACTAGGATTAAAATTCCGCCGTCTTCTTTCCTTCTACGATATCTCCGGCCCGTTCATTGGTTCGAAACTTGGCGGAAAAACGCTGTTCCGCAGATTTGTTGTGAGAGAAAACACCGCTTTTTGGTGAGTTTGGTGAACAGTAACTTAAGAGGGGTTCCAGCCGGCTGGCTGGTTTAGGTCAGACCAGCGAACGAGCCCTCTGTATTTTACATACGGCAGGCAGCGGCGTCATCCTGGCTCCGGCACCACATTTTGCCCGGTCGCGCGCGTGTATAAATAAGGAGCCCCGAGAACTTGCTCGTTCACAAGCGAGGCTTTGCTCTTGGTGCGTAGTTGCACCGGAAGCGCAAAACATATATAGCGCGACGATCAGCGTAGCTGCGTAGCCACCATCATTTGCGGCACGTAAATCGATCGGCTGCGGGCGACGCGATGTCGTCCAAGGTTGGCCATTGGCCAAGGCCTTCTGCTTTGCTCTTACTTTGATTCGCCATGCATGCATGTGCTCCCATATATATATGTTCAACCAAAAAAAAATACAATTCTCTCTTGCCGAGAAGTCAGACAATTTTTAGAATTCTCACCGATGCTCTCTGGTTGAGAAGTCAGACAATTTTTAGAACTCTCACTGATGCTAGTTTGGGCTCGTCGTTACGTTGTTGTTGGAGCAAAAGACTGTGATCAGGCTGGGCGTACCGAACGGCAAGAACCGGTCTAAAGCCATGCAGCTGGCATCCAAATTTGTCGGTACACATCCGTCACACTAGCTAGCTATTATCTTGAACTTCGTGTGCGGGATCCGTCCACATATCCATGAATAATACACTCTTGTGCATGAGTACTTACCACACTGCGGGCCTCGATGTATGGTGTATATGCAGGAGTGAACTCGGTGGCGATCACCGGGGAAGCCAAGGACCTGCTGGAGGTGGTAGGAGAAAGCATCGTCATCGCCTGCCTGATCAATCGCCTGCGCAAGAAGGTCTGCCGCGCCGACATCGTTGTGGTGGAGGAAGTCAAGGACAAGGAGGAGGAGGAGGAGAAGAAGAAGAAGGAAGAAGAAGTGAAGAAGAAGAAGAAGAAGAAGAAGAAGAAGAAGAAGAAGAAGAGAGAAGAAGGCGGAAGAAGATAAGGAGGCGGAAGAAGAGAAGAAGAAGAAGAAGGAAGAAGAGCTCAAGAAGCTCTGGGCGGCGTGCCCGCCGCCGTGCTCCGGTGGTTATTACCCGGGGCCGCCGCCGACGTTTCTATGCGAGGAACAACAGCCAGAAGGCTGCCACATCATGTGAAGCTACGTACTACTACTTAAGATGGATTTTGCCCGGCGTATATATATGCTTATTAATATGTTTGTGACGATTTTGGTTCTGAACTTTTACCACACCGGCTAGCTTCTCTCCGTGAATCGTGCTGTGCGCATGTGTACAAACATGGTTCTGGTTTGCTTTGGCTTCTTCAGTGATCACGAAATTTAGATCACTACTATATATAAGTATTTCTGAATTTGTTTTAAGTTAAAATATTCTAAATTTGACCAAATTCATAAACGAAAGCATTGACACCTACCACACATCCTAGAAGTAAACTATGAAAGAATATGATGCTCATTTGAATTCTCAAGTATTATTGTATTTTTGTATAAACTTTGTCAAATTAGGATAGTTTGACTTACGACAAACTCAGAAATACTTACATTTGTAGAAGGAGTGGCTACATATGCCTACATGCTATATCATCTTACTATCTACTCCATGTCCTGTAATATAAATTTTTTTGAGTTACCCTAAGTCAAATTATTCCAAATTTCACAAAAAAATATAAAAATAAATAAGAGCAAAATTTATGTGGACTCCCTAAACTTGCATGGTGGTATAATCTGGTTCCACTTGCGAAATTAGTGCTGAAATTCCGATCTTTTTTTGGGCGAGGAAAATTCCAATATTTTTCGGGACCTGTTAGTTAATTTGGATTTACTATGAGTTGGTGATGCTGAGGTTAAATTCGCACTCTAATCCAACTTGATGTGATTTGTTTTTCGTGAATTTTTGGAGCAGCCCTGTGCTCAGCCTGCTTCCTGTGTTGTTTCTAAAACACTGCTTCCTGTGCTGTTTCTGAAACGTCATGGTAATCTGTAAGAGCCGAGTGGCATCAATTTTTAGTTCAGTTCGATAGCTATCTCTGACTGAACTTTTGTGTACGCGTTAGTTTATCTTATTGCCAGGGCCGGCCCTGAGTTTTTTTGGGGCCCAGGGCGAAACCAATATCCGGGGCCCTTTAAGTACATGATAGTGATAATACTTATACGTAAAAATACATATGCAATGTCAATGATAAACACATAATTTCATATGCAAAAACAACAATCATATGAAACAATTCATACATATAAATTATCTTTAAAACTTATGGATAGACCCTCTCTGTGATTGTATCAACTCATTTACTCGTGTTTTTTTTCTTTTTTCACTGCCGGAAACTTACTTTTTTGATGACATGATACTGTTAAAATTTGGAGAACGAATTAGCCAAAAAAATAACACCAATCTGGTAATTCACATTAACTTAAATCTGAAATTAAATCAATTTTTGTATGGTTACACCCTAATTTTAATTGAGCACGAGCAAAGAATCAGCGATTACGCATTATGCTTCAATGCTATAATGGTGAGGGCACTCCTGCAATCAGTCAAAACTCAACCAATGTAAATATATAATCACGTTCAATTCCAGAGCATAATAGGCTAGCAGAGGACGTACAAACCTATTCTAATTAAATCGCCGGCACTGGCATCGGGTTTTTGTGGACTTGGTCTGCATACCTAGATCATACTCACACGGAGCAGAACTGCAGAAGCTTGCTACTTGCATCTTTTTTTTGACAAATGCTACTTGCGTCTTGGTATCTCGGTGAATCGCGTCTTGCGTTGCGTCGCCTGCCGCTCTCATGTGTCCGTCCGTGGACAGTGATTCGCGTCTCGCATCACCGCCGCACAGGAGGAGTCGAGGTCGAGGAGAGCGCGTGATCGGTGTGTTCGTGTCACCCATGGACTGGCCGGGTGGGGATAGCTTCGTGGTCGCAGATGTCAATCTGCGCGTCCTTGGGCAGGCTGACAACGCTGCTGGGCCTTGATTGCTAACATATCAAATACATATACCTGTGTTGTGTACATACCTTAGGGTGGGCCCCTTGGAGTTGGGGGGCCCAGGGCGGCACCCCCTTGCCCGCCCCCCAGGGCCGGCCCTGCTTATTGCTCCCAGCTCCCTATTGGAGTTGAGGATTGATTTTAATCATTGAGCAGCTCTTGCCTTGTTTCAGTTCTGCTCGCAGGTGGTCAGTAACAAAAACAGATCAAGCACATACTTCAGCAAGGTTTCAGTTGTCACTTCTCTGAATCTTTCTTTTCTTTGTTACTGTGTCGTCAAGTACTCTCTCCTAGTTCTATCTACTAATTTCTTTGTGGATTGGTTCCTGCATGGATGGTGTACCCATAGGAGTGAAGGACAGTCTAGGTTTTATAAGAGTGAAAGTGAGAAAGATAAGGCAAGAGACCTGTGAAATTGATCGAAGGGCGGACGTATTGACGTACAGTACTTAGGAGTGAAAGCAAAGGTGGGGTTGAGAGACCAAAGAAGAGGACCGCGTAGGAGTGATGGCTGGGCTCATTGAGGTACTTGAGCAACAGAGCACGGGGTCTGTCCACTATCTCTTCCTTTGGCATTAAAGAACTTAAGCAACAGATCACTGGCCACTGTGTGTCGGCCCACAATCTTCTTCAAGTATAACTCATGTTTGTACGAGTATTTTTTGTGTGGGGAAAGACTGCCCGTTGACTATGCGTGTTCACATTCGCACCGTACCACCCTGATTGCCAACGATACCAAACGCTAGCTGTATTTTCTTTTTTCTTCTTCTTAATATAATAAAGCCTGCGTTTTTGAGAAAAAGCTGTATATCCTTTTAAAAATCTGCGTTGCCGCGACCGTGGCTTTGGATTGGAGGAGCTCAGAGCTCCGGGCAGAGAAGGCGAGGCAGCGAGCGCGTCACCCAAAACCAACTGCCTTTGTCTCTGGTCTCTCGTCAAGTCATAATACTAGGACTATTTTTTTCCCAGGAAGACGCCGTCCCTTTCGATGAGGAACGGACGGACCCGTCTCTGACTCGCTAGCTCGGTAGGTGATGACTGATGACTGATGACTGCAACAAACGCGTACAGTAATGCTGCTAAGTCAGTCGTCGTCGTGTCCTTGCCTGCTTGGGAGCCAAAGACCGTTCCGGCGAAGGATCATCCGCCTTCACCTCTTGCCTGTTGGCTGTTGCTGCTCGCCCCCGTCTATAAATGCCGCGCGCGCACCTCTTGCAGTTGCTCCATCACAAGGCAGCTGCCGATTGCTCCTGCAGAGTGCAGAGTGCAGAGTGCAGAGTGCAGAGTGCAGAGCATCGGTCCATCGGAATTCGGCGCGGCCATCCCGTCCCGTCCGTTCAGCCTCTACTGCTCAGACGACTTGTCGTTCCCCACATCTTATCGTCGTTATCCTCAGCGGTGGCGCGTAGATCAGCAGCAGCGCGATGAAGGTAATTAACTGTCTGAAAGAACAGCCGTCTGAATAATCTTTCAGCTCCTCGAATTCGCTGTTCGTGCCCCCATCATGCATCCGACTCATCAATCTCGTGTTGTCGTTGCTGCAGCAAAAGATCGTGATCAGGCTGAGCATGGCAAGCGACAAGTGCCGGTCCAAGGCCATGGTGCTGGCAGCCAAAGCAGATGGGGTGAGCAAGATGGGAATCACCGGCGACGGCAAGGACCAGCTGGAGGTGGAGGGCGACGGCATCGACACCGTCTGCCTCGTCAACTGCCTGCGCAAGAAGATCGGCCGCGCCGACATCGTCAAGGTGGAGGAGGTGAAGCCCGAGGAGAAGAAGCCTGAGGAGAAGAAGCCCGAGGTCGTGCCGCTGCCGTACGACTGGTGGTACCCCAATTTCTACCACTACCACCCGCAGTGGCAGTGGTGACTGGTCACCAGCTAAGGGCCTGTTTAGTTCTCCCAAGATCCAAATTTTTTTGCGCAGTATTCATCACATCGAATCTTACGGCACGTAATGGAGTACTAAATATAGATGAAAAAAAAATTAATTGTACAATTAGGTAAGAAATCACGAGACGAAACTTTTGAACCTAATTAGTCCATAATTAAACACTAATTGCCAAATACAAATAAAAGTATTACAGTAGCCAAAACCCAAAAAATTTTGGATCTAAACGGGGCCTAAGCTGTTCATGATAGCAGCCATTTTGACGGATTGGTAGTTGCCATTCAGCCCTATGATTGTACCGGTGTGCGAATGAATGAAAATATGTATGAAAAGCAACAAAAGGAAACAAAAGGAAATTTGCAAAGTTTACTTGTCCATGTTTTGGAGGTAATTAAACCCTAATTTTATCAGTGGAGAAGCTAAATCTCAAAAGCACCTTTTTAACACAGCCCTGTGTGAAGTTTGTGGACAGCATGAGGAAACTGCAGATCATATCGTTGCAGGATGCCCTTTCGCTAGGACCTTCTGGGCCAAACTTGATTTTAACTTGCCATTGGACTACTCCACCTTCCTAGATGATCTTCATTGCATTGGAAGGCCGGCTTCAGTACCCTGTAAGCATTTCAGCACATTCATAGCGCTATGCTGCTGGCAGCTCTGGAAGCGCAGGAACAGTGTGATCTTCAAGTCTGAACTTGCCTCTACAAGGCAAACTTTGGTGCCACGCATCTCCGACGCAAATCTTTGGAGAACGAGACTGCCAAGGAAGGATAGGGCTGTCGCGGATGCCTGGATTGGTGCTTTTTCAGCAGCTATGCGATAGGAACCTTGTAATGTAATTTCTTTGCAAAAATGATCTTGTGATCAAAGATGTACATTGTACTTTACACTTTCTAACTGTCTAAGGGCAGTTCTTGGGCAATAAAAATTCAGGTGGGGATCCTCCCCCCAGTGACCTTAAAAAAAAGCACCTTTTAAAATTCTTTAGGAAATGAAACGTTTTCTGCATTTTATATGGGTCTTGAGGCCCGGTTGAGGATTTGAACAAGCGCAGTACGAAGGATTCAATTTTTCATCAACAAAAATGTTACTAGAAACAGTCAAATATGCCCATAAATGTGTCAGTCTTATACCAGCCCTCGCAAATTGAAACTGTTCTGTTTTGGCCTGATCATTATTGGTTTTCAGAACCAGCCACTCAGCCAGTAATTGTATTCGCAGACAGTCACCAACTGTACCCCAGATTTTCAACGATATTCTGGCAGGTTAGCTAAAGGAACTTGTCTGTTTTCTGGAGGTAAATCCCGAAGATTTGATGACTGCCTTTGTAACCCTCACCATTCGTCTTTAGAGAACCAGTCAGTATTTGCTGAAGGTGCTGACGTGAGGGTCCAAGGGTCAGAAAAAGGTCCACGGTGGACAAAACTAATAGCAAGTGCCAAGTCTTTCGTCACAAAAAGAATGCAGTGCTTGACAAGTAAACGAAACTAGAGATGTCACCTCTGAAAATGACGCACGCACCAGCATCTTTCTATATGTTTTATCATATGTTAGTACCTGAACCATAGATGATGCATCAGGTGGTAATAATGCATTTAGAATGGATTAATTCTAAAGGAACATTTATCGGTGTACGACCGATCGTTGACTCGTGCGTTTACATCGATCAATCTTACAATTACGCATCTTTATGCTCGTTCAGACTACTGGACATCGGTGTTATCCACTAAAATGATGACGTTTATCAGCTTTGCAAAAATGATCCGCACCAACAAAGAGACGCACGTCATGACTCATAAGCCAACTGCCTGCAGAAAGCAGAGTACACCTGGAGATTTGTTTCATGTGAAGCTCCGCGGAAATAGCAACGGGAAGACGAAGGTTACTTTCCGGGGCTTGCCTAGCCGTATTAGACCCAGACAAGAAGTTGGAACAATATAAGGTGTTTGATGCTTTGGAAATGCTCCATGTAGGGCGTCCGGCCGTCCGGACGACGGCTTCCCGGGCCTGTGCAACGAACCGCCCCAACAGGCCCGCGCTTCTCTATTAAAAAAACTGCTGGACGTCGATTCCCCAATCCTCTTCGCTCACCCGTCGCGGCATTCTTCACTGCCACATGACACCATCGATCACCACGGTAGATTCCACCGCGTTGCCCGCCGCTCGCCTTCTCCAGTGCGGGGCTGCTCACCACGACGTTCTCCAGTGTGGGGGCGCCTCGCCGCGGGCACGGCACCAGCCTTCCGCGACCTTCTCCAGCAGCGGGGGGCGCCTCGCCGCGGGAGGCCGCACCCGCCTGACCGCCGCCGCTGCCTCCACCACGGGGCCACTCGCCATCGGGCCCGCGCCGCCGCGGATTTTGGCGTGGTCCACAACGACCGCTGCGGCGCGCCTGGGCGCCTACTTGGCACCATCCTTCCTCTCTCCACCGCGCTGAGCTGCCCGCCTGCCGCCATCCTTGCTCTCCGCTGCACTCAATCGCCGCTTGCTGGCTACCTCAGTTTCCCACAAGGTAGGTGGTGGTCACTGGCGATGTCGTGTTTCAGGTATTTCAGATGTATGTGTTCAATTGTTTCATCTAGATGTTGTGTATGTTGCAATGGCTATACACGCATGTTGCAAACGTATATTTCATTTTCCAATCATATGTTTAATGTGTTTTAAACATGTGTTTCAAGTGTTATATCTGGATGTTGCAAAAGTATATGTCTAGATGTTGCATAACATGCATGTTGCAAGTGTATATTTCAGGTGTTTCATACGTATGTGGCAAGTGTTTCATCTGGATGTTGCAAAAGTAGATCTGGATGTTGCATATGTTTTTGCAATGGATTTCAACTATTTTCATATGTTGCAAGTGTTTCAGCTGTTTCAGACATATGTTGTGTAACACCCTAAAAAAATTTGCTCTTTATGAAATAGGGTTAAAAAGGTTTAATTTTGAATTTTTGTGCTCATTAAAACATTGGGAAATAATATTTTTCTTTCAAATAAAATTCATCATAAGGTTTAGAAATATGTTTGTCATTGCATTAGATTTATTAAGATGAGTTGTTTTGCTTCAAAAAGAAATTCAAAATTTGTTGAAATGCTTTTTGAAATGAGAATTTGAAAAAGGTTTGGAAATGAAAAGAAAAAAAGGAAGAACCTTTCCCTCTCTCTATTTTTGGCACAGTGGGCTGACCAGTAGTAGAATGCTGCAGCCCAACACCACTCCATCCCTTCCGCAGGCCGACTCCCTCCATCCCTCGCGTGGCCCAGTTGCCTAGTCGGCCGAGCGCGGCTGAAGCCCAAGCGCGCGCCCGCTCCTTTCCCTTCTCTCCGTCTCCGCTGCTGCTTCCTGCCCCGCCCGCCGCCCTCCTCTCTCTCTCTCACAGGTGGATCGATCGCTGTGTCCCGTCGCGCTCTCTCATCGACAGTCGGCCCGCCCTATCACCAGCCTTCTTCCTGTGGCCAAGCAGAGACTCGCCACCGGAGTCTCGCCTCCCGCGCCATCATTACCGATCGGCGTACGCCCATGCCTCGTGGCCCCATAAAAAGAGCTCTTGCGTCGTGCCGCATCCGCCGAGCCAAGTCATAGCCACAGCTAGCCCTAACCCCACGTGGCGCGCACGCTAGGGATCTCGCTGGGTTCGAGGTCACCGGCCACCGCTTCTGGAGCCGGGCACTGCCTCCCAGACGTCAAGAATCAGTCGCCGAGTTTCGCTAAGAGGTAAGCAAGCAGACAGTGCCTTACTCGCTCCCTCTCTCGCCCTCTGTCACTCTCATGCCTCCGCATCGCCGAACTGTCACCGCCGCCCCGTTTAGCCTACCGTCGTCGCTGATCCGTCACTGTCCCAGGGAAGTGGCCAGGTGAGTTCGCCGCATCCCGAGCTAACTCCCCGTGCTTTCCCCGTGGAGAACCGAGGCGCCTAGGCCGTTTTTCGCTTACGCTGGTGAGCATCCGAGTTTTCGGCCATGGCCTCTGCCGTCGGGGTCACTGTGTTGCGGTGACCCAATCCTCCCAACCGCCTCGACCATCCGTTCATCGATGTGTGGTCCAGATTAGATCGGGGTGTACCCCTTGATAACCGGTCCACCGTGGACCACGGACCTAGGCCACGGTGCCACGCCAGCCGGTCCACCAAGGACCCACCAACCCGCAGCCGCCATGTGGCCTTCACGTGGACGAGGACCAGGTCAACCCGCTGGCTACTACACTTTTGCAGAAGGACCCTGCGGCTTTCTCAAATCAACCCACAGTCCACCCTCTGTTGAAAATAATTCAACATATGCCCCTAGATTTTCCGTTTTCGCCCCTGCAGTTTTCCAAAAACGACGCCCGGTCCATAGGACTGTTTTAATTCATTTTTAATACAAAATTGATTTCAAAATATTTATAGAATTGCCATTGATCTTATTTTATGCGTAGTTTCTCCGTTTTAACTCCGATTTGACCCGTTCAAATTGCATTGGATTCGTAATGACATAAACTACACAATTGTAACAATGTTAATCTTGTTACCAGCTCTAGAATTTTCATGGTTTAAATCCTAACTTGATTAATAATTATGTCACTGGATTTATAAATAAAATATGAAAAAATTCACTTCAGTTTTCAAAACCAAATATAAGTTTGACTTAATTCAATTTAGATATTTCTCTGAAATATCTTATGCATCCTTTTATATAGTTAAAATTAATAAGGCCTATGGTTCTCTTTTATAAAAGCAAGCCTTTCGATAGTTGTATCTTTCGCACCATAGCTCCGGTTAGCGTGCTTTTTGCGCTTGTGTGTTCGTAGCAACATGTAGAACATCTTTAAAACCTTTTTATTTGTTGTTTCATCTGTTTGGTGTACTGTTCTAATTTATATCTGTTGTTTGCTTCGTGTATGATTACATGGATGCTGGTGTGGTGCTTAATGAATCTTGTCCAGTCGGTGAGTTTTACGTGGTGATCAAGAAGCAGTTCTTTGGAGGCTACGAATCAAAAGAAGA